ATAAATTACATTATTCCAAGTATAAAACACACACATATGCACATGCACACATATTTACGCAGGCTAGTTTATTACAAATTAGTGTATTCCAGTGGAGGAAAAAAAACCATTTATAGCTGTTTTCTAATGTTATTTGCTGATGAAATTCAATTTACTCACTTGCTAATTTGCAAATAACCTTATTAAGAAAAGAAGTGAAGACTGGAAATGAAGCACAGCCATTATACTTTTATAAGAATTCAATTTAGGCAATTGCTAAACTACAGTTCATCAAGATATTCAGCCAAATATAGAATTAACAGGACCCACAAATCTTAAGTCAAAAGGCCCAAGGCTCCAAGTGTGCAAAATCAAATTCCTTGCAACCTAACTAAAGTATGTCACAAGAAGACAAGTGAGTAAATGCTTATTAAGCCCACCATCAGTTAGCTTACCCATTAATAAATGGCAACCTTAATCACTGTTTAAGGGAAATGTGAAGTCCGCCCAGCTTGCTTATTGAAAAACTAAAAAAGGGGAGTGAATAATTTAGGAGCAGCGGTTGCAAAGTAGATATTTAGATGGAACTATCTAAAGAAGGAACCACTAAGAATACCATCTCAGTTTGTCTGAAATTACTAAAAGTATAACAGAAGCCTAATTCAATTGAAAAAGTAATATCAATCTTTTAATCATAGTAAGGGAATGGAGAATCTATTTATAGAATTTATAGAATCTATAGTTGTCCAGTTATCAAGTTCCATGTCATAATATGTAATCCAAGGAATATTACCCTTTGAAAATTTTAGCTTTCGTTGCACAACTACATTTATATAGTCTCCAATTTCCTCCAACAATTTATTAAATATAGGACACTGTAAAAATATATGTTTTGAGGAAGACTGATATTGGAGCATTGGGAGATTAAATGTATGGCCTCATTCAGTCAATGAATTGAAGACCTGATTATGCTCGCTACTTATAAGTGGAGTGCCTATAGACCAGACTTTAATAATGAAATACAGGACTGCACAAAATATGGTATCTTAAAAAAAAAACCACAATGGTTATATAAGTGTATTAAAAATGAATACATACACACTGTTTATCTAATATTTACATGACAGGTATACCTTGACTTACACTGAGACCGGAATTTCTATTGTAAGTCAAGATGGTTATAAACTGAGGCCCCTACATGACTAGCTTCAATTTTACAACTCTTTTTACAGTAATTGTTAAAGGACTCACATGGTCATAAGTCCAAATTTTGCAGTCATTAAGCAAATCGCATGGTCTTAAATTATACTCTTTTGTTCTCAATGGGGTTTTTTTTTTGCCGGAAACCAGAAAAAAAGTAGTAAATTGTGGTCACATGACTTAGGATGTGGCAACCAGTTGTAAGCAAGAGCCAGTTGCCAAGCACCCAAAATGCTGTTATGTGACCACAAGGGGGCGGAGCAACATTTCCTGCTCTAATCCCATTACTTCTACAGGTAAGATCAATATCCTTATGCTATTTACATTTAAAAAAATCTTTTCTGCACAAAAATGCATTTACATTTAAGCTTCTAGATCTAGAATCTATTTCAAATCTATCCCAGCTCCCATCTTTCCACTTTGCAATTATTTTAACCAAAGGGAAAAAGAGAGAGAGAGAGAGAGAGAAAAAATATTGTTCTTGTTTCTAGTTTGGCCCTCAGCTATATGGAAGAGCTAAAATAAAACACTGGAGGCCCTTTTTAAACTTGAATTGCAGAAAATAATTTTATTGTCCTTGAAAAAGAAAATTAATATGAAATCATACATGTGACTACTAAGAAGTTGGTCTCATTGTGTTTAACAGAGCTTATTCTAGGGAATTTGATATAGATATGCAGCATACATACAGTAATACTTTGAAAGTATTACTTTGAAAAGAAAGTATTTCTTTTCTTATGTTATTTAATCACTGAAAATATTCTTAGCTCCTCTTATAGTACACTCTGAGGTTTGTACTCGTTCTGTCAAGAACACATTCACTAAGTAAACAAAATTAGACCATTAAATATGTTTATTTTTGTTTAAATATAGTTTAAAAGATCACTTAAAAATATAATATATGTATATATAGAGACATCAAATAATGGTTCAAAATGGTACTGAAAAAAAAAACGGGATGTACAAGACCATTTAATGAAATTCCCAGGCCCATTTCAATTTCTGAATATATCATGGAAGAAGTTTGAAAAATGGTCAATTGTCTTTGGAGGGATCATATAATTCTTTATGAAGTAGTATATATTGATTAATCTGCTACTGGACTGTACCATTAGGATAGTTACTGCCATATAACTGAACACTAGAGATTAAAACATATAATACCAGGTCCCCAATGCTCCATTTTTTCATAAAGCTGAACAGTGAGATCTGAGGAACTTTTATGCTCTCGGTGTTGTGGAACTACAGCTCACAACAGTCCTTGGATTATTGACACCTTTACTTCAGCAACATCTAAAACAGGGGTCCCCAGACTCTTCAGCTCCTTGACTTTTCGTAACATTTCAGATTGTGCATTGACATCCCCCCAAAATATTTATAGGAAAATAATTTAATAAATATTACTTTAGCTAATAGTACATCAAATAATGACAACAACAATAATTAGATAGTTCCATCAACACTTGGATTCTGTATCGATCATTTTGGGGAACCCTGATTTAAAAGATCTCAGGTTTCCTCCCCCATTGTAAAAAAAAATAACAACATTTAATCATGTGCTCTCCTAGAAAGTATTATGAAGCTACCATACTATTCAATATCACCTATAGCTGTGAATATTTTTCTTGAAATTAAGTAACAATCAGTTTAATTCAGACTATGCTCAACGTTATCTATACAAGCCCTCCTCTTTCTGGTAGGAATTTAGAATACTGTACTTCCATTCACCCCCATCTTAACTTCTGACAATGAAACAGGCTCTTCTAAAACATTTCATTCCCTGCAATGGTAGAAAGAATGGCATCCTTCTCAAGGAAAATTGCAAAAAAATAAAACCCAAAGCAGTAAAGAGGGGACTATAACTGAGGACGCTGTTGGAGAGGACCCTCAAGAGTTTTAATTAGCCAGATGTGTGAGAATGACACAAGCCAATATTTTAATAGATTGAAGCCAATTTTATATGTATTGAAATCATCCAAGTGAGCCTTCTCAATATGTGACTTCAAAACCTAGTAATTGAATTATCAACCATGACCATACTAAATTTCCCGAGTTCCCCAGTCAATGTGGTCACGGCTGATAGGTTTTTGAAGTCACATATCGAGAAGGCTCACTGAGATGATCCCAAGTTCTCTATAAGAATAATGGCTTGTATAATTCCCAGGAACTCAGGAAGCTTATATGCACCCTCTGGAGGGACCCCTAAGGGTAGCCTAAACTATCTCCTTGCTCCAAGCAAGGTGGACATCACAGCATCTTTGACAGATGGCCAACTAGCTCTCACTAAGACAGGAGAATTACAGATAGTTCTCAACTTAAGATCACAACTGAGCCCAAAATTTATGTTGCTAAGTGAGACTTTTGTCTCACTTAGCAACATTTTACGACTTTTCTCACCACATTTGTTAAGTGAATCATGGCAGTTGTTTAGGTTAGTCACACAGTTGTTAAGTGAATCTGGCTTCCTCATTGACTTTGCTTGTCAGAAGGTTGCAAAAGGGGATCACATGACCCCAAGACACTGCAACCGTCATAAATAAGAGTCAACTGCCAAGCATCTGAATTTTGATCATGTGACCATGGAGATGCGGCAACAGTCGTAAGTGTGAAAAACGGTCTTAAGTCACTTTTTCAGAGCTTTTGTAACTTTGAATGGTCGCTAAATGAACTGTTGTAAGTCAAGACTACTTATACTTCCTTCACAGCCAATATCTGTTAATAAAGGAATGCTTGAACTCTCAACCTGCTATTGTTTAAGATGCTATGAACATTTATGAAATAACAGAGAAAAGGACAAATGCTGAGATTATACTAGTATGTGGGTGATGAACTTTGCAGAGGTAACGTTTCAAAAGAGCCTTTTTTCATCTGTAATAGTCTCTATATTACAGAATATTCTTCCCTCAGACATACATGCAATCCCCATTATGCTGTAATTCTATAATTATCTGGGCTGCAACTAGCTGACTATGGGAATCTATCTCAGATTTTGCCTTGCTTTCTGTCTTTTTCTTTGTAGTTATTTATTTGGTTTTAATATTAATTTGCATTTAGTTTTTATTCTAAAGTCTTCTAAGCTTGCAATATTATAGCCTGCAATATTTAATTATATAATATTTTTTTATTTTAAAAAGACAAATTGTGCTTTGCATGTTAAAAAACACCATCTTTGTTTAAGAAATGTACATCTTGACTGTTGTGTCAGCTCTTACCCTGTTTCAAAAAAGAAATCAAACGGAATTAGCCAGTCTGAGATCAGTTTCACTGTGATTTCACGGAATTTCTGAAATTTTATGATTAGTGCCTTATTATCAGAAAAGCAGGATATAACTCAACAGCTGATGTGACATAGACAACAAAGAGTAACCACACCATCTTAACTTGAAATTAGTATTCCATGACTAACCATGAACCCCACATACAGTTTTAATAACTGTTAGATTGAGAGGAAGAAAAAGAAATCAAGAAAAGATAAAAGGAAGACTCCTATGCCAGTTCAAGATCAGGGAAGGACATAAAATATATAACCATACTGGATTCCTGAATAAGAGATTAATACAAAAAAATCCTGCCTATTAGCATTGCATCTCGTATGAAAATTTACAGTTATTTAGACCATTTGTTTGTAAGACAGGTTGTACTCCAAGATACAGATTTAAATTACCTTGCCTTCTGCTCCCTGCTCTGCCTCTCTATTCCCCTTCTCTTTTATTCTGTTCACCACAAGATAAAAAAAGCTGGCTGTAACAGAAGGCACTATCTTTATAAGCCCATTGACTATAAGTTAATAATGACATGGAAACAGAAAAATGCTTGCTTACCTCTTCGGGAGCACAGGTTTGAGCATTTCTCTGAAAAGGTTTTTTGGGAAGGATTGTAGGGAGGTGGCGGATTGTCATAACCGTGCCTTGGTCCAAGATGGTTCTGCTCAAGGTCTGCAAAAGCAGAGGAAGATCTTGAATGTTCAGTTGTTCCTTGCGACAACCTATGGAAGAAAAACGGATGTCTTTGTGATAAACCAGCATGTTAGGATGATCAGCAATTTCCTCGCCCTTCAACAACAGTTTTTATACTTGCACCAACAGGATGGCAGCATTCCTCCCAGTCCACTACCTGACTATACTGGGAAATAAATGCTTTTTTTCAAATTTGGCAATGATTCCACCAAATCGGCGACAGAGGGCTACTGTCATAAACTTCTATTTCCCTGCAGAGGGACAAAAAGATGGAAGACTACTTATGTGGTAGCTCCATGAAGAGAGAATGGATATTTACTAGATGATGAACCTACCCACATAAGTTCCCTACAAGAAGTCAAGCAAACTTTTTGTCTTAGGTCAGAGTTGAATCTAGGGTAGGTTTAAGGGTGAAATGTGATGGTTGATTAGATATCTGTCAGACCCAGCGTAAAACACCTTGAATAAGCGGGCTGCGACGCTGCTGAGAGGTGTCGCCGATGCTGCAAGTCAGATGGGCGGCGCTAGAGATGCCGACGCTCAGCTGATGACGTCCTGCCTGCGACGCGCGTCTGGGGACTGATTTGGGCTGCCGAGAATCAGATGGATGGTGTTAATTATTCCAATAGGCTGCCAACGTTCAGCCAATGACGCTCTGCCTGCGATGCGCGTCTGAAGGAACTTGAGTTGAATTAATCTGCTGTTTTCAGTTAACTGGGATACTGGGTCTGACAAACATAAGGGGTGTGGCGAGGGTGGAGCGGTGATTGGTAATTGAGGTGTGGTGGCGGGGCTTATTTAATACGCTGGAATGGGAGGTTTCTCAGGGCTGACTTAATAAGCGTCCATCATCTGTAGCCTCCATGATTAATAAGGAATAATCTTTTCTCTGCCATTTACTACTAGAATCTGTACAATAGATTTTCCTTCCATCTCGAGTCATTGTAAGATCGTTCACAAAGGACATGTTCTTCCCTTCAATAGGAATCCGTGTTGGACCAAACAATACTCTTTTTGTTCTAGATGCCTATTATGGGCTGTTTGAAATAAATCCTGCCTCAGGTGCAGTCAGGCCACTTGTGTCTTCAAAGATTCCTATTGAAGGGAAGAACATGTCCTTTGTGAACGATCTTACAATGACTCGAGATGGAAGGAAAATCTATTTTACAGATTCTAGTAGTAAATGGCAGAGAAAAGATTATTCCTTATTAATCATGGAGGCTACAGATGATGGACGCTTATTTGAATATGACACAGTGACAAAGGAAGTCAAAGTCTTAATGGAAGGACTGAGATTTCCAAATGGAGTCCAGCTGTCTCCTGCTGAAGACTTTGTGTTGGTGGCCGAAACAGTTATGGCAAGATTTTCACAAAATTAGATCTTCGGGAGGCATATTATAGAATACGGATAAAGGAAGGGGATGAGTGGAAGACCACTTTTAACTGTCCCTTAGGGAGTTACCAGTTCAAGGTGATGCCTTTCGGTCTACAGGGAGCCCCGGCTGTATTCATGCAGTTAATAAACGAAGTGTTGCATGACCATCTTTATAGGGGTGTACTTGTATACTTAGACGATATACTTATATACTCGAGTACACTGGAAGACCACATACAATTAGTGCGAACGGTGTTGCGAAAATTACTGGATTCCAAACTATACTGTAAAGTATCAAAATGCGAATTCCACAAAGACCGTATTGATTACTTAGGATTCCGGGTTTCTGCGATGGGAATAGAGATGGATCCCAATAAAATACGCAGTGTATTAGAATGGCAAGCCCCAAGGACTCGTTGCCAATTACAGCGGTTTCTGGGGTTCGCTAATTTTTATCGTCAGTTCATACCGTCCTTCGCTGATGTGGCCCTACCATTGACTCAGTTGTTACGTACCAAACACAATACTGGTAAACCCCGGCCAAAACAACCGCTGGAATGGACCATGGCATGCCAACAGGCCTTTGAAAAGTTAAAAAGCCTGTTTGCACAGGGGCCGTTATTGGCACATCCTGACCCGGACAAGCCCTTTGTTGTACAGGCGGACGCTAGCGATGTAGCCGTTGGCGCTATTCTATTGCAGCGTAATGAGAAAAATATGCTACAACCGTGTGCCTACACGTCCAAAAAATTCACTGAAACAGAACGACGTTGGGCAGTGTGGGAAAAAGAAGCATTTGCAGTGAAATGGGCATTGTCCACTTGGCGCCATCTGTTGGAAGGGGCTCAACATCCCTTCGAAGTCTGGACAGATCATCAAAATCTAACAGTGCTTCAAACACCAAGAAAACTAGTGCCTAAACACGTCCGATGGGCACAGTATTTCCAACGTTTCAAGTTCTGTTTAAAGGTTGTTCCGGGTGGAAAGAACTTTCTAGCGGATGCACTCTCCCGAATGCCCCAATATGACAGCAAAAGGGAACAGGTGATCCAGGCTGTCATACCTCAGTGTAATGGGGAGCACGAAAAGGCAGAGGTTTGTACAAGGCTAGCAACTTTTGAAGAAGAAATAAAAACAGCTTTAGTAACTGATCCTTGGCTATCAGCGAATCCAGGGATATTGACCTATCGTAATGGTTTGGCCTGGTATGGCGATAAATTGTATATACCTCAGGAAGTGCGCAGCCGGGTATACCATCAATGTCATGACTCCAAAGTAGCAGGTCACTTTGGTTTTGTGAAAACATTACATCTAGCAAGAAGGCGATTTTGGTGGCCAAGCTTAAGGAAAGACATTGAAACATACGTAAAAGAATGTAGGGTTTGTGCACAAGCAAAGGTAATACCTAAGAAGCCAATGGGATTGTTACAGTCAGTGTCTGATCCGATACGGCCATGGCAAGATATTGGCATGGACTTCCTGGTGGAATTACCAAATGTAAAAGGTTATACAGTCATATGGACGGTAATAGACTTATTTTCGAAGCAGGCTCATTTTATACCCTGCAAAGGGCTGCCGTCTGCAACGCAACTAGCGAAGCTATTTGTACAGCATATTTATCGTCTACATGGAGCTCCCCGAAGAATTATATCAGACCGCGGGGTTCAATTCACAGCTCGATTCTGGCGTCAATTTCTGGCCTGTATTGGAACTACCCAAGGATTGAGCTCTGCATACCATCCATGTACCAACGGAGCAGCGGAACGAGCCAATGCGGCCGTGTCACAATATCTACGCTGCTATGTCTCTCACCAACAGACGGATTGGATGGATTATATACCCTTTGCCGAGCTAGCGTACAACAATGCAGTGCATAAGAGTACCGGGTTAACCCCCTTTCAAGTGGTATATGGCTACGATCTGAATCCCTTACCGAGTTGTGAACCACTAACGTCCCTGGCCACGAAGCCAGGGGACTGGATGTCCCGTGCTAACCAAGTGTGGCATACAGTACAGAAAGCACTGATACAGGCGGGGCAAATAGCTAAGGAACAGGCAGATAGAGGTCGTAGAACGGCAACCCAATTCCGAGTAGGTGACCAGGTGTATCTCTCGACCAAATATCTTAAGTTACAGGTACCCTGCAAGAAGTTGGCGGCGAAATACGTGGGTCCATTTCGCATAATACGCATCATTAATCCTGTTACGGTACAACTCCAACTGCCGGTCTTCCTTGGTAGAATACATCCGGTTTTCCACGTGAGTCTGTTGAAGCCGATAGAAAGGAACACTCATACAGAGCCTCCTGGACCTATAGCTCCGGGACAGTATGAGATACAGGATATCATGGACTCACGATGGCGGGGGGGCAAGGTATACTACCTGATATTATGGAAAGGATATCCCCTATCCGATGCCTCATGGGTGCGGAGTGAAAAGGTGTTCGCTCCGGAGCTGCTCCGAAGATACCATAAAATATGGCCAACTAAGCCGAAACCGAATGAGGGGGGGGCTCAAATAATATATAGATACTGTTGACCAAACGATGCATTAACCTGTGACGTTCTATTCCAGGGGATCCCGTGGTGAGGGGGGGCCGAATGTCAGACCCAGCGTAAAGCACCTTGAATAAGCGGGCTGCGACGCTGCTGAGAGGTGTCGGCGATGCTGCAAGTCAGATGGGCGGCGCTAGAGATGCCGATGCTCAGCTGATGACGTCCTGCCTGCGACGCGCGTCTGGGGACTGATTTGGGCTGCCGAGAATCAGATGGATGGTGTTAATTATTCCAATAGGCTGCCAACGTTCAGCCAATGACGCTCTGCCTGCGATGCGCGTCTGAAGGAACTTGAGTTGAATTAATCTGCTGTTTTCAGTTAACTGGGATACTGGGTCTGACAAACATAAGGGGTGTGGCGAGGGTGGAGCGGTGATTGGTAATTGAGGTGTGGTGGCGGGGCTTATTTAATACGCTGGAATGGGAGGTTTCTCAGGGCTGACTTTCTTTTCAACTTAGCAACATAATAAATCCTGAACCTTTGTTGAATCCTGCGTTGTTCCTGATTCTTGGGTTCTGTGCCTATAGTCAGGACGAGCTTACAATATCTCTGCAAGAGGCTTCTTAAGCAGAGATAGCAGAGTGGTGGAATTGCCAACCAAGAGATGGTTCTGGCTGACAGAAATTTCCTTGGAGGAAGGACAAATTGAGGAGTACCCCATTTGTGCTCTGGAAGAGCTGCTTCTCATGACATTGAGTTTCTTCTGATCAATTGTGGGTCAAGGTTTGGGCGCTAAGGGATTTACAAGGTGTCCTTAATTGCTGTGCAGCCTTCATGGATATTTGACTAGCAAAGTCTAAACTTCTTCAACACTTGACGATCTAATTACTTTACAAGCTAAGAGAGATAGTCTCAATGGCATTGAAGATCAAAGACTCTTGGTGAGTGCCTTCTTTTTGAAATTAAGAAGAGGAAAAGAAATCAGCTATTTTAAAGGATTTCAGTTTAAAAGCAAAAAGCTTAACGAGATGGTGATCTAAGAAAGTTTCAAATGAACAAAGGGGACAGTGATTTTAAAAAACAGAAGAAATATTTGTTTTTCTGACAAAACTGCTTTGGAAAACAGTAAAATTAATTAGACTAGCAGACTGGACCTTTATGGCAATGTTGATGGTTTATTTTAAGGACAATAGCAATTGGTTGATTTTACAAAATAAGAAGGCTAAGCTGTGAGATGATTAACTCCAGAAAACTAATTGGAATGGAAATGTTAAAACAGAGATAAACAAAACAGAAAAAAAGCCTATCTTTTACTTTAAACTAGTACTATAATTGACATACTTTCACTTTCCCACCATGACAACCACAAAGAAAGTTGCCAAATTGGGGAAAGGATTCAGTGGTTCTACTAGAACAACTTACAGATAAGGACATTTCACCAGATTTATTGCAGAAAATAGTTGAAGAATTTGGTAGAAATGACTGCAATAATTTAAAAAAAGGAAATGGAAGAAGGATTTGCAGGAATTAAAAAAAAAGATCTGGAAGAAGAAGTGAAGAAAACTGAAGAATCAATAGGGCAACTGCCTGCAGACTTGAACCAAATTACTAATCAAGTAGAAACTAAGGCAGACATTATAAATAGAGAAATGAAGAAAGAGTTGGGGAATTTGGCATTATTGGAACTGAGAGAAAAAGTATTTTGCTTCAGATTTATGATAATTCCACAAAAACATGGAGAGGATACCAGAGATATGTGCTGTATGTGTGTGCACATGCCTGTTTGTTTGTTTGTTTGTTTGTGTAAAATACATCTGCTGCCAAGACACACTTAACTTCCAAGCTTTTTTCCCCCACTGGAGCTTCAAGTATCTATTAGTACCAATGTATAATTTTCTCTCCCAGATCTTAACTTCCACGAAGAAGAAGATTGGGGAAGGAGCATGTTAGTTACCACTCTCTTACCACATCTTGCAAAGACCAAAATATCCCACTCCCTAAGCTGGACAATTATGTTTAGAAGGGGCGGGGAACCCACCTTTCATTAATGTTTGCAAGTGTTTTTCTATTGTTTACAGCCCTGTGGGAAGAGCTTTGAAAGAGAATGCTCCCCCCTTCCTTGTGTACTGCAACTTTTCCTGAAATCGGATATGCTGTGAATAACAATTAAGTTGAGTAAAATCACTGGTGGGGGGGGCTAATGGAAACTCCCACTCAAGCTTAACTGAGATGTTGGGGCAGAGATTTCAAGACTCTCCTCCTGCCCCCTACATGCAAGGCTACTCAGTTTAGAAAAGTATGCCTTGGCCCGAGGGCTTTTTTGGTGTGGGAAAACACTTCGCACATACCCAAAACAATGTGCTCTCTCCCTATTTTTCCTGACAGAATATTAAAACGCTTATCAGCAATTTGATAGGAAACGTGGAAATGAGAGCATTAAAACTCTATTCTATTCAAAGGATGATTTGTAAACTTACCTTCCACCGGATGAATTTGGTTGCCTGCTTCTTTTATCAAAATAATTGGGGTTCTCCCTAGGAATGTAGGCTCTGTCTTGATGAAATTTCCCGGAATGGGGCATCTTCTATTTTGGCTGAAGTTACCTACAAGTGGAGCTTGCTTCTGCTTCAATTTGATGAATGGCTAACATTCAGTCAACAATTTTGTTACTCGGTTAGAAACACAAAATAAGGCACAAAGGTAATCTATTAAAAAGAAAGCGACAGTAGTAGGTTTTATTACTTGCTATGTAGTATAGATTAGAGCATCCTTTCCCAATTCAATGCCATCCCAAAATTTTGGATAACAGCTCCCCAAAATATATACTTGTCAACTTGGTCAGTAACTATAGAATATGAGCCCAAAACATATAGAAAGTACCATGTTGGGGAACAAAATGTGAGGCAGGGAGCTGCTAAACTAAATGATTGGAATTGCTAAACTGAATGATTAGATCAATTTATAATGCTATAAATTTCAAAAATCAGAGGAATACAACAAATGGCAAAAAGTCACAGGAATGCAGCCTAAAAATGTTGCAGTTTTAAGAGATCAGCAAAATTTATGGAATACAAGTAGTCCTCAACTTATGACCACGACAGAGCCCGAAATTTGTAACTGAAACAGTTTTAAGTGATTCTTGATTCATTTTGTGACCTTTCTTGATACAGTTGTTAAGTGAATCGCAGCAGTTGTTAAGTTAATAGCATAATTGTTAAGTGAATCTGACTAGCCCATTGACTTTGCTTATCAAAAGGTGGCATAAGATGATCACATGACCTCAGGGCACTGCAACCACCATAAATACGAGCCAGTTGCCAAGTGTCTGAACTTTGATCACATGACCATGGGAATACTGCAGTCGTTGTAAGTGTGAAAAACAGCCACAAGTAACTTTTTTCAATGCAGTTGTAACTTCAGTCACTGAATGAATAGTTTTTAAGTCAAGGATCACTTGTAGAGTAATTCTTATAACCTTGTGGGGAAAAAAATCATTAAAATGTTTTAAAATTACATAGTTTATGGGAAAATGGATTATTTTACCGAGGTCTGCTGTATCTCTTCTTGGGAATACATAACTTAATTCTCTCTAGGATGGGTTTTAATTCAGTCAGCTGCAACTGGTTCACACAGGCACAATGCATCTTTCGTTCCTCATTTATATCAGCGCTGATGTGTTCACTGTGTCATGTTCAAGCAAAGGAGGAATCTCTGTTTAGGGCATATGGATCTGGGAGGGCTACCATGCAAATGACCAGATAATTCTATAGTCACATAGGAGGGTGTGATTGTAATACTTGATGCTGATCTTCTGAACTGCAGCTCTTTCTGCTCTTTTTTATCATAAGCCACAAAATTAAAGCCCACTCAGGGTTCCTACTGACTTAGGAATTGCTGAATTTTATTCTATCTTTACTCTATCTAAACCCTTTAGATTTCCATTAAAAACAAATGTAGGCTCAATAAATAAATGTACTGACAGAACCAAGGCAGCTTATGATGTCAACACTTCTACTGAATTATCTTAATTTTACTTTTAATGTATTATAAGTTATGTTTGTTTTTAATGGACCGTATCCCAGCTTTGGATTGTTATATATTACCTTCACTATTTTATAAATAAATTGACAAAACCAATCTAATCCAACAAGCTTTATCTCCATCTTTCATTACATTGCCAGGTATGGTAAATCCAAGATCATATTCAGGTTTGATCTTGCCATGGGATAAAATTGCACACCTTCCAGATGTGATTGAACTCCCAGCTCTCATCAGCCCCAGCCAATAGTCAGAGAGGATACCATTTTAGCCCAACTGTATCTGTGACACCACAAATTCCCATCTGAGATGCAGGAATCAGAAAGGACTACAGTAGACTGCCTACAGTAGACTGCCTGAAACCTGACTTATGATGAGAGAGACTATATATTCTGGGAATGTGCTTGTCCTAGCCCAGGGGTCCCTAACCCCCGGTCTGTGGACCGGTACTGGACCACGGCATGCTAGCAACCAGTCCGCACAAACAAGCAAAGCCCCATCCGTGGGATGCAGGCAGCACACAAAACCGGTCCGTGGAAAAACCTTTCTCCACAGAACCAGTCCCTGGTGCCCAAAAGGGTGGGGACCTCTGCCCTAGCCTACGCTGAGCCATTTTAATTGCATCCTATCCTTCCGCCAGGTGGACCACAGTCACCTGACATTCCCCAAATGGTGCTCCTCATTCAGCACTGAAGATGTGAGAGCAAAACCAAGAATTTGTTTTAAGCTTTGTTCCTGAAATCTGTCTTGAGTTTGAGATGGAGTGCAGGGCTAACGGGCAGCCAGGGATTTAACTCCGCCTTCTTCAACCTGATGATTTGCAGAAAGGTTGGTTGGGCTAGAGGTCCCTTAGTTTGCCAGCTAGCATGGTCACCACTGATTAAACCGCCTAGGGTGAGTAGTTCAACAGGTTGGCACCAGGTTGATGAATACAAATAGTTCTCAACTTACGACCACAACTGAGCCCAAAATTTACCTTGCTAAGTGAGAGGTTTCTTAAGTGGGTTTTGCCCCATTTTATGACTTTTCTTGCCAGATTTATGTTGAGTGAATCACTGCAGTTGTTAAATTAGTAACACGGTTGTTAAGGGAATCTGGTTTCCCCATTGACCTTGTCAGAAGGTGGTAAAAAGGTGATTACATGACTCCAGGACCCTGCCACCGTCATAAATGTGAGTCAGTTGTAATGTAAATTATAACCATGGGGGATGCGGCAATGATTGTAAGTGTGAAAAACAGTCATAACTCACTTTGTTCAGTGCCTTTATAACTTCAAACTGTCATTAAGCGAACTGTTGTAAGTCGAGGACTACCTGTACTGATTTAAAGGGATCGTATTCTAGCAGAACAAAGCGGGATAGGTTTCTGGGACGTGAGATGGGCTGCTTACAAATCCCAGATCTTCAAATCCAGGACGGGGAGGAGACTAAAGCGAAGTTCTTGCGGAAATCCAGCCTTCTTTACTACACAAATATCCAAAGTTGTATGTGTTCCCGATCCACCTTATTTTTTCCCAACTCACCCCCAGAGCTGCTGAAGGGCCTCCCTTCGTTCAGCAACGCGCCGGGAATTTTTTCAGCCTTGTCTCTTCCCAGCCGGGAGTCCCTTCCGAGGACTAGGGCCGGAGGAGCTCTGCGTTTCCTGGTTCGTGCGGCCGCAAGAGAGAAGGCGCTGCTAGGTGAAACTTCGCACGGCCACGTACAGTCCCACAGTCGCTCAGCCCCGCCAACCTTCCGATCTCGGGAAGGATCAAGTTTCAGTCTGCAGCGCCCGCAGTTTCTGAGACGCTCAAAGCAAATAGGAGCGACCTGCCCAACCTGAAAGGGCGGAGCGCGGCGACTGGCGCGCCCGAAGGGGGACGTTTCTCCGGTGCGCTGAGGCGCAAAGAGCACCTGCTTAAGATATAAATATATATATCTTGGCAAATACAGCTATTATGTGTTAGGTTATATATTTAAAGCAGCGTTACTCAATCTTGGCAATTATAAGGCAGGTGGACTTCAAGCCCCAGAATTCCTCAGCCAGCAGAGCTGACTGGGGAATTCTGGGATTTGAAGGCTATATATCTTAAATATCTATTTTAAGAGAAATAACGTCTGAAAATGTCAAGGGGTGTCGTTGGCTTTCTTTGCAGAGATGAACTCGCTCTATCTCTACTTAAGGGAGAAAATGAAGGGCTTTGTTGGTGACAAGATGGGGCAGTAATACTGGTAATGTTGCAATGTAGATTTGAATGTCTGAGGGAACATGGCTGGTTGGCTCCTTAGGCTACCTGACTGTAGATCCTTAAGGAATTACTATTGACGGTTTGTTCTGCAGAAGGCTGGCTCAGGTTTCACATAAAGCGGCTGTATTCTCTCAGCCCTTGGATCCCAAACTAGCCCGTGCTCTGAGTTTGCACAATATAGTCAATTCAATGAAAAGATAAGCAAACGTGTTAAGTCACAAAAATAAACCAAATAAGACGAATATGTTTGGCAAATACAGTTGTTATGCGTTAGGTTATATATTTAAAGCAGCGTTACTCAATCTTGGCAATTATTAAGACAGGTGGACTTCAACTTCCAGAATTCCTCAACCAGCACATATATATATCCATATATCTTACAGTTGCCAAGGTTGAAAAACACTGAGACAAAGCATCTGTGTGAATATACCCATTTTTTTATCAAGCTTGTCCACTTTAACTCAGGTTATTGTTTGAAATGAATGCTTAGATTGTTGCCCCTTCTTGTATGCATCAGATTCTACAGGGTAAAAACTTTCCTATCCAGGAATGCAAATTTACTATTGAAATGTATATTTTATCTATATTTTTAAAAAATGTACAGAAATAAAATCAATAAAGTCATTCACTATTTGTAATTTTATGCAACAACAGAAACCCAAAATGGTGAGTTTTGTGGGGATATTTCTTTTTATAAAGATTGTTCTACAAGTTGCGTTCATAAACACAATACAGCAAACATTATTTTTCAAAGGAAATAACTGCATTAATTATGCATTAAATTAACCATGTAAACAAATATATAAATTAAACAGTTGGTTCCTATCCAGGTGTCTTTAAACTGAAGGGAGCTGGACGTGGAATGACAGGCTTCAGCTCAGCCATAGCAAGGCTGAGTAATTTTGGGTTTAGGGACTTCTGCTTCCAGGACTTAATCATCTTAGATTTTTGATGGGCCGGGACTGCCCCCAAAAGACCCAGCATGCAAACTGAGGGTTCTCCTGGACTTGGATTCCTGCTCAAGGAGCTGGTGACAGTGATGGCCAAAAGGACCTTTGCACTGTATCCCAGTTGCACCCGTTCTTCGGCCAGGAAGTTCTGTTCTTATGTATGTTCTGGTCATCTCCTGAATGGATTACTGAAATGTGCTCTATATGGGGTTACTTTTGAAGAGCATCTTGAACTGCAGCTGGTGCAAATGTGACCTGTGGGCAGTTACGTGTGCTTCTCAATTAGCACATATTTCACTTTAGCTCTGCAAGTTGCATTGGCTGCCATATGCTTTGTGTTCAGTTCAAGGGGTTGGTGATAAGCTTTAAACCCCTACAGTTAACACCCCCCAGTAATCAAGCACCTACAATTTCTAAAGGGAAGCTGGTTCTACTGGTTAATTGTTCTCACTTAGGAAGTTTCTCCTTAAGTCCAGGTTGCTTCTTTCGTTGGATTGGTTTCCATCCATTGTTTCTTGTCTTGCCTTCTGGTGCTTTGGAAAATAGGTTGTCCCCCTCTTCTTTGTGGCAGACCCCCTCCTCAATCTTCTTTATAAAGCAAATGCTGCAAATTTAATCTGCTGTTAAATAGGTGATGGTTCCATGAACAGACTCTTTACTATTTGCGTCCTTGTAAGAGCCACCCTAACCTGCCTCATGTATCGTGTGTGTGTTTTTCTGTGTCTGTTTCTGTGTGGGTGTCTCTGTGTGTGTGTATTTGTGTAGTGTGTATGTGTGGGTGTGGGTATGAACATGCAGAGCAAAGCTTTTTGCCTTAGTCTGCACATACTGATGCATTAATGTAAAAATATAAATCTAAATTAAACTATCTGCTGAACTTCTCACTACTCCAAATACGGGGAAAGCATCAGAGTATTTTGGAAAAGACATAATGGGGGGGAGGGGGAGACATAATACCTTTGCCAGGTGAAAGTAATTAGGAAAAATTAGAAGAAACAGGATAATCTACCATATCAAATATAAATGTATGCTCTGGGAAAATTATAAAAGATCAACAGACATCTGCTCAAATTCAATCTGCTACTCAACCATTTTCTAAAACTGTAAATTTAATTGCTTCCTATCTCAGTGTTTCTCCTGAGAAGCAACAAATCACTAGGAGTCTGGCTATTACAGCAGCCTCTTGATTTTAAAAATGAGAGGAACAGAGCAGATCCTTCCATTTTTCTTGGAAAAACATAACTCCAAACAGTTGTAATAAGAGAGCAGGGCGGAATAATAGATTGTACCTTCCATTAGTAAAATGCCCTGCTAGAAATTACAGAAAATAGCTTACCTCTTTCAAATTGCAGATGAAATTAACTACAAACTAAGATGTAAATAAATCCTGAACGTGAACATATTCATGCCAAAAAAAAGTTCAAGTAATCAATCATAGGATCATAGGGCTGGAAGGTATCTCCTAGTCGAACCCCCTGCCCAAGGCAGGAGTCCTTATACCATCCCAGACAAAAAGTTGTCCAATCTTTTTCTTGAAAACTTCCAGAGATGGAACACCCACGATTTCTGGAGGCAAGCTGTTCCACTGGTTAATTGTCCTCACTGTCAGGAAGTTTCTCCTTAATTCCAGGTTGCTTCTCCCTTTGATCAGTTTCCAACCATTGTTTCTCATCCTTCCCTCCCCTCAGATACTGGAACACTACTATCATGTCTCCCCTATTTCTTCTTTTCTTTAGACTAGCCAAACCCAAGTCCCGTAGCCGTTCTTCGTATGTTTTAGTCTCCAGGCCTTTGATCTTCTTGGTTGCTCTTCTCTGAATTTTTTCCAAACCCTCAACATCTTTTTTTTGATATGGTGACCAAAATTGGCTGCAGTATTCCAGGGGTGGTCTTACTAGGGTTTTATAAAGTGGTACTAATACTTTGCATGATCTTGATTCTATGCCTCTGTTTATACAACCCAGTATTGTATTAGCTTTTTTGGCTGCTGCTGCACACTGCTGGCTCATAGACAAGTGATCATCCACTGGGACTCCAAGGTCCCTCTCACAGTTACTGTTCTTAAGCCAGGTCTTACCCAATCTGTACTTGTACCTTTGATTTTTCCTATCAAAATGTAAGACTTTGCTTTTCTTCACATTGAAACTCATTTTGTTGGATAGGGTCCAATTTTCAAGTTTATCGAGATCTTTTTGGATCCTGAGTTTGTCTTCTGGAGTGTTGGCTACTCCTGCCAGTTTGCTGTCATTTGCAAATTTGATGAGTTCCCCTTCAATTCCCTCATCTAAGTATTGAAGACTGCTATCAGGTCTCCCCTGAGCCTTCTCTTCATTAGGCTAAAGAAGGCTAAACTAGTTCCCTTAGCCATGATTTAGTCTCAAGACCCCTTATCATTTTTGTTGCTCTTCTTGATACTCTTTGTAGGGCCACAGTATCTTTTTTGTATCATAGTGACCAGAACTTGACCAAAAGTGGCCTCACTAGCATGGTACAGAACAGTACTATGACTTCCCGTGATTTTGATGCTATCCTTTTATTGAGGGAAGGTTGCATTGGTTTTTTTAGCAGCTACAGCACACTGCTGTCTCATACTTAAGTGGTGGTCCACCAGGACCACCTAGATCCCTCTCACATACCTAGAGCCCTTTCAGGTTGCCATATAGATCAGAGGTCCCCAACCTCTTGGGCACCAGGGACCAGTTCTATGGAGAAAGGTTTTTCCACGGACCAGAAATTGTATGGTTTTGTGTGCTGCCTGCATCCTATGGATGGGGTTTTGTTTGTTTGTGAGGACCGGTTGCTGCATGCCATGGCCCGGTACCGGTCCATGGACTGGAGGTTGGGGACCCCTGATATAGATAGAAAGGAATGACAGACTATTTTAAAATAATTTGCTCTTTTGGTCTGTTTTTAAACAGCATTATACTGTATATAAAATAATAATGAACTGGAGGAACCTATGCAATTAGTTTTGCATCATCCTGTTGCATACCTACATTGGATACCTTTGTGGGCATTACTGGGGCAAAGGAGACACACAGAGGTGTGTCTTCTGCTGGCACCGATTGCTATGAATGTGTAAGGAAGCATGAAGATCCATCCAAAGAATTCTTAAATACTTGTATGTAAGCTCTGCTCTGCAAAAGATTTATTTGCTACTTCTGACCCTGAATAATCATTATTTTAAATTACTTTATTTACATTGTAATGAGTGTTAAAGTTCAGGATGAATTATTCACACCCTGTTTCAATTTTCATGAGATTAAGAAGGCATCTCTTCCCTGCAATGCTGCTTTCTAGCAACATTCTTCAGTGCAGTCAAATGGATTCTTTTGATGTTTGAATTGTATTCAGAAATCCTCCCTATATAGTTTCTGGATCATAATTTGTTTGTTTCACCTTGTAATATTTCAGAGGAAAGGTAGTTCTATTTTGAACTTTTTGCATAGACTCCTATCCTAGTGGATTCTCAACTATGTAACAAAAAACAACCCTTGAAAGACTATCATGCTTATTTTGCCCAAGCTCATGGATTGCAGTCCATCAGATTAAGTTCTGTAAGACAAGTATGATAATTTTTTTATTGGAAATGTGTAGAGAAAGGAAAAAAAGAGGCACAATGAAAAAAAATTGT